CAAAACAAATTTTGCCACTCTAAGAAACACAAGTAGTACCCAGTCAAAGCAGTAATGCATAACAATCCATCTAAAAATCATATGTACAATAGGTAGCTAGTTACTGAGGGGGAAGGTTGCCTAAGAAAAAGGTCTTTGCCTGCTTGGGGAAGGATAGCAAAGATGGGGCCAACCTAGTCTTCTGTGGGAGAGGGTTCCAAAGTCTTAGTGCAGCATCAGAGAAGACTGTCTGCTGTGTCCCCATCAGACACACCTGTGAAGGTGCTGGGACTGAGAGAAAGGCCTCTCCTCATGATCTTAACACCCAGGCAGGATCATAATTGGAGATACGGTCTTTGAGATACCTTGGACCCATCTAGGGCTTTATAGGTTAAAAGCAGCATTTTGAATTCCGCCCAGAAACTTCTTGGCAGCCAGTGGAGCTGCTGTAACAGAGGAGTTATGTGATCCCTTCAAACAGCCCCAGTCAGCAATCTGGCTGCTGCATTTTGGACCCATTGAACTTTCCTGATACTTTCCATTGGCAGCCCCACATAGAGTGCATTACAGTAATCCAGCCAGGAAGTAGCTAGGTCATGTGTCACTGTTACCAGATCAGACCTCTCAAGAAACAGGCATATCTGGCACACTAGTTTTAATTATACTCTTGACCATTGCTGAGACATGGGCGTCCAGCTCAGGGGCACCCCCACAGGGCCCCCCCAAGCTATAAGCCAGTTTTTTCAGGGGAAGTGTAACCCCATCCAGCACAGGCTGCAACCCTATTCCTTGATCTGCCTTTCAACAGACTGGAAGCACTTTTGTCTTGTCTGGATTAAGTTTCAATTTATTGGTTGTTGTGGGTTTTTCAGGCTCTTTCAATTTATTCATTCTCATCCAGTCCAGAACACTGATCTAGAGTCGAGTAGCTTCCTTGGATTTAGGTGATCAGGAGAGGTAGAGTTGGGTATCATCTGCACACTGATGATGCCAAACCCCAAAACTCCAGATAATCTCTCCCAGTAGTTTCACATAGATGTTAAATATAGCATAGGAGACAAAACAGAACCGTCAGTGGCCAGGATTTTGGATAGGAGTCCCCCAGCACCAACTTCTGAGTTCTCTCCTCCAGGAAGGACTGCAGCCACTGTAAAACAGTGCCCCAAGTCCCATTCCAGAGAGACAGATTTGGAGGATACTGTGGTTGATAGTATTGAAAACCACTGAGAGGTCCAGCAAAACCAACAGGGACAGATCATCTACCAAGACAACCAAAGCCATCTCTGTCCCATAACCAGGCCTGAAACCAGATTGAAATGGGTCTATATACTCTGTCTCATCCAGGAACCTCTGGAGCTGAGATGAGATGCCACAACCCACTCTAGCACCTTCCCTAAGAATGTAATATGAGATACTGGTTGGTAATTATTCAGTATTGTGGAATCCAGAGAGGGCTTTTTAAACAATGGTGTTACTGTTGCCTCCTTTAAAATAATTTTTAATGCATAAAGGCTGTGATGGAAAATAAGAACCAGTCATTATGGACAATTCAAAATGCAAGTAATATTTTTTATGTCCCTGACTACTAGAAACAAAGTCTCAGAAACAATAGTTGTTTCATTCACTCATTCCCTTCAAAAACACATACATGCTTTTCTTTATGAAATGAATCCAGAGTGGCTTACCGGAAATTCAGAACAAAGCATAATCAAATCATGAGTATAAAAATCGCAAAATCAGTAAGTAATAATAAGCAGTTGGTAATAGAAATAGAATAGAAAAATAATAATACATATGCTGCTAACGATAATAATACTACCACCTCAGATAAGTCCTTAATACCAAAAGGCTTCAGAAAAACCACATTTTCACTCTGCCACAAAATTTTAACAATTAGATTTGGAAAATACTTTAAATTGTAAAATAAAGGCCTTCCTGACTAGGGCATTTCATAGCATGGATGCCACCACTATAAACTTCCTGCTTCAGGACGACTCCTGTCAACCTTATCTTGACCAAGGCAACCAGGACAAGGCTTGAAATGGTGGCCCACATACCTATGTAATTAAGTTGTCCATATGTCATTGGAAACCACTATGGTTTCAAAAGTGGGCAAAAAACAAACAAACTCAAACTTCTGCTGGAAATCTGAACATGTATACTCAATGTGATGTAGTGGATAGAGTGACCCAGTAGGGCTCAGAAGGCCTGAGTTCAAATGCCCACTCAACCGTGGAAACTCACTGGGACTGCAGAATTGGTAAAACCACTCCTTAAATATTTTACTTAATTTGAAAGCCCTATTGGAGGCCTTGTAAGTTGGTTCTGACTTGATGGCACTTAATAACAACAAATAAGGATCTATATTGAAGATCTCTGCATAACTTGGAAAAATTTATTCAATGCATTGAGACATTAAGATAAGCTAGAATTCTAAAGAATGCTGCCAGCTGGTTTGATAATTCATGCAGCTTCTTGTAAAGTCAGGAGTGGTTAATCATAGCTTTTCGGTCTTTGTTTTGTTCAAGATGATGTGCAAACCAAGAAACAAGCTTTTCTTCCCCTAACAAGTCAAAGTCATAAGTCACTGTTCATTCTCAGTTTATGACTCTGGCTTGTCAGGAAAGACATTAGCTAGATTTTCCAGTTCTCATATTAAAAAAATTCACTCATTATGACTTGCAGAAAATGCTACTGTGTTCTTTTATGTACATTAAACTATTTTCATAAATGGTTTCAATTTTGTAGCTTTGAGATGCTAGATGTTACTTCCAGTCCTCAAAAAATAACTTCTGTTCACAGTTACAGGAGGGTGGTAATACTTCAGACTTTTTAAAAATAAATTAACTTCTTGCTGGCAGATAATTTTTTTTTACAGTTTTTAATGTTAAAACTAAGACTACTTACTGTCAGAGTTTAAACTACTCAGTGTGAGTGCTTAGGTAGAATAAATACAGAAAATTGAAGACAATTACAGTTGCTGAAATCTCTGCATTTGCTATCTCAAATTAAATAGTATTCTCTCCTCTTAAATAAACCTCACTTGGGACCATTGAGGTGACTGAATAATGCCCTACATCAGGACTTTGACATCTAATTAATGCACGGATCAGCTCAGCTTGTATGGAGAACCTCATGCTAGTACAACATACTTCTTGTGTCTACTACCAACAATGTGTTGAATACCTCTGAAGGAAAACTAGAATTCATGCTGATGGGGTAGTCTGCCACATCTTCATCTTGTCTCTTCAGATGCGATCCTTGAGAGATCATTATTTGTACATGATAGGAGAGTAGATGAAGAGGGAGCACGTTCCTTTCTAAATTATTGCTGCTTAGACAACAGTTTTAAAGTGTGTCATAAATGATTTGGACACATTTGTGCATTGCCTATGCATTTGCTTTTGGACAATGCACAAATTTTGTATGCACAAAACCTTCTTCATCCACAGTTAACATGTTGGGGAAGGGGACAAAGAATAATTCTCTTTTTGAAAAAAATGGAATAGCTAGGCTCAATCCTTGCAATAACTTTATTCATTTCTCTAAGAGTGTAACTATAGTGTGGAAAATATGGTTTGATCAGCTGTGATTTGCACCTGTGGAAGTCGGTTTTCCCCAGATGAAATCAGTGCGACCGTCTAGACAACAATTTGCAGTAGTCAGCAGGGGCAGAAGCATAGAACACAGTTTGCATAGAGCTGCAACAGAAGAAGCCACCTTCAGGAGCTAACAAAATGCTAATTAGCAATTTCCATCTCTTTTTATATATATATATATGTTCTTTTAAGTGTCCTAGGAATAATATGTTCCAGAGCTGAACTGAGCTTTTATTTTTGAAGAAACCATTTAGATATTAGGGGCGCTTGGTTGAGGACAACCCCTTTGTATCACAACATGGGTCACTGGCAGAAATCAAACAAAATTATGTCAACCTGGTTGGAAGAAATTTAAATCATCCTTGCCAGCTAAATTTAAAAAAAAAAAATTATGATTCCCCACTCAAAAGAGGCAATTCTAAAATAGGCTTCCCTGCATTCAGCTTTATGTTGAGCAGTCACCAGGTTTTAATTCAAATTCCTCTATGCCCAATCAAATATAAATTGCAGGGTATACAGCCACTGTAATCACTCCTAACTCTTGGCTAATTTATATATCCTCATGTAAGAAGAAACCTTATGCACTAGGAACAAGGGCTGGACTCAATGATCCATAGGGCCCCTTCCAGCTCTGCACTTCTAAGACTATTATTATTGTAACTCTGAACAGTAGAAATGCTGTACCAGTGTTTATTTTGCTATAGGTGTTTTTATTTTTCCTTGAATGTAAGTAAGGATTTATTGCTGGGCACCAAGGCCAAGGTCATCTATACTGTGATATTCCCCATAGAACAAATGTATGGATGTGAAATCTGGATGATGAAGAAGGCTGTGGGGAGGGGGGCAGAGAGAGATTTGTTTGAAACATGGTGTTGAAAAAGTGACTTGCAGATCCGATGGAGCACCAGAAAGACAAATAAGTGGATGCTAGATCTAATCAGGCCTGAACTCTCACAGGAAGTTAAAATGACTTGGCTGAGACTATTGTACTTTCACAAGAAGAGAAAACTCCTTGGAAAAGACAGCGCTCCTTGGAAAAGTGAAAGGCAGTAGAAAATGGGGAAGACTGAAAGTCCTTAATTCATAGTGTTGTTGAATAGTGACTAGAGGGCACATAAAAGTAAAACATTTTTATTTTGTTACTTCCTGCACCAAGTTCAAGGAAGAATCCTAATTCTCTCATTCTAATCCAGCTAATTCTTTCCCCTCTGTCTGACTTCATTCCTTTGTCTACTTGCCATTCAACAAAAGTTCACCTGCTCTTCTTTCTCCCTCCAATGTGAATCTCCATGCCTTCTCTTCTCAGTCGTCTTGGTTCCATGGAATGAATTCAGCTTGTTAGCTTAAATGTAGTCTGTTAAAATTGGTGGGACTTAAATGAGATCTTAACCCTGATTTTGAATAATCTTTTTGTTACTTTAGATATCCTTGTGGAAACTTACCTTTCATCCTGCACATACATGTTGTAGTCCCAATTAGAACATACTCACTGAATGAGTTGCTGAATGGTAAGTAAATCAGCACTTGTATAAATCTCATTTATTCGATGGGTGTATTCTAGTTGGGAGTAGCTGTTGACATTAGTCCTAGGTGAACAACTTGAACAGATTGTGACCACATCTGTACAAGTATAAGCAACACAAAGGCCAAAAGGCAAGGACATGCAGTTCCTCCATGACCCACAATTGTATTTCTAATTATCCCTGGTGCTCCAAGAAACAGATATTAACATGGCTGAGGATGGCATGGCAAATTATTGCCGCTCCCTAACCTTTTTAAAATTGCTAACACTGTTGTAATCTGTAATTACAGAAATCAGCGTGAGAATTGTAGTAGTATATAATTATCTTTTCGTGATACGTTATTGCTGAATGAATTATTAATCTAGATCAGTCTTGTATCATATTTGCAACAGCTAAAGAATCATCATAATAATGTACAATTACATTCCATTACTTCTATCTTTGTGCTTATATGTGGGGTTTGGGTTGTTTTAATGTTGTAATTGGTAATTAATTTGGATTCATAATATTCTGAAATAGCTGTTAACTTCACAATTATTTAACATTTCAGCATTGAGAGTTTTTGTTGTTATTGGTATTAAGTATTCTACTCTATTTAGTTCTGAATTCCAGCACAATCCACCAGTTCTGTCTCCTGCACAGCAAATGGAAACTTCTTTAAATGTCACTTGGAGGTTGGGTGTATGCTGACACGAGGGAATTTTTGCTATTATCATTCATATTCTTATTACTATAGGTTTACCAATGTTTCTGGTCCTTTTAAATCTTGCCTTAAGATTTACCACAGAACTGCAGTGTTCAATGTTTTTCTCCAGTTTTATCATAATTATAATTTGCTTTCTAAGTTTCTAAAAGCTAGAATTAAGTTGCTCTGTATGAACATATTGGCCTAATAGTGCCTAGTTCCACTTATGAAAAAGGTTTGCAAACAACTACAGAACTGCTATAGTTACTGTCCCCTTTTCGTCTGATTGTTCCCTGTTGGGATTCCTGAACTAAGGGTAGAAATATTTCCTTTGGTTGTTGTCGGTTTTTCGGGCTCTTTGGCCGTGTTCTGAAGGTTGTTCTTCCTGACATTTCTCCAGTCTCTGTGGCCGACATCTTCAGAAGAGTGGAGTAGGAACACAGTCCATGCTCTGCTCCTACTCCAATCCTCTGACGATGCCTCCTGTACAATGTGAATCTCCATGCCTTATCTTCTCAGTTGCCTTGGTTCCATGGAATGAATTCAGCTTGTTAGCTTAAATGTAGTCTGTTAAAATTGGTGGGACTTAAATGAGATCTTAACCCTGATTTTGAATAATCTTTTTGTTACTTTAGATATCCTTGTGGAAACTTACCTTTCATCCTGCACATACAATGTTATGAGCCTCTATCCATGGTTCTTCAGGCACTCAGTCCACCAAATCTAGTTCCTTAAATCTGTTCTTCACTTCCACTGTGTATTCATAAGGGATTTGGTTTAGATTATACCTGACTAGCCCAGTGGTTTTTCCTTCTTTCTTCAGTTTAAGCTTGAATTTTGCTATAAGAAGCTGATGATCAGAGCCGCAATCAGCTCCAGGACTTGTTTTTGCTGACTGTATAGAACTTCTCAATTCAGAACACCTCAGCTTGAATCTCAGGATACATGGAGTTCTTTGCAGGATTTGTGCTTGGCTCTGAAAGCATCTGGAGTGCTTCTAAAGCATCACATGGGAGAGGTAGATGAAAACAAGTTGCCGTAGAATTAAGCAAGCTTCAGAACGGACTGAGAGGAGATATCTTTCCATTAGCTGACTTTTTCAGACACCTAGGCAGTAGGCATTTTGTCAGGTGACCTGAAGTGTTTCCATCAGAGATGTTCTTGACAAGAAATATAAAGAACTGGTGCTCAAGCTTGTCTTTTCCCCCTCCCTCCCCCTTTACTTGAGTGTTGTATCTTTTAGATTGTAAGCCTGAGGGCAGGGGACTGTATTAGTACTGATATTTGTCTCGGGGACAACTTCTGGCCAGAAAATAAGGTATTAAGCAAAAATAACCCCAACTATTAGAGTTAGAGATGCACTCAGTATTGCGTGTCCAGTCAGTGCAGCATTCCATCAGCCATTGCTGACAGGAAGAGGATGTCCATAGAAACTTTTGAATGGCTTCTTGATTCAGAACCATGTTTTACAGAATGATAGTGGGTGACATGGAACTGCTCTCTGCCAGATTTGGAGAAGTTTAAACAAGTACTTTTATATTGCTAATTGTTGCTCCAGGAATAGTTTCCCTACACATTCATGAACTTGTTTTGCTAACCTTTTATACAAGTATGTGTGGCACATGGCCATTTACTGTATATGGTTGTTTTTCGAATGCCTACATCTGCTTTCTAAAAAGGAAGTGCTTGCCCCAGGATGCATCTCTGTATTTGTCCTGTCTTTTTGAAGATACACTGCATCACTTTATGTAGGACTCATCTCATGAACTCTGCCTTTCTTCTCTAATGAAGCATTAGGTAACAATGGCCCAAACATCTTGTCAGTACTTCAGGAAAACTCAGTACTTGTGTCTTGTTGAGGTGAATGGGGCTTGCTTACAGATGAAAGGTTAGGTTAGGATTGCAGCCATAAAGGAGTAAGCAAGCAACTACATTGACAAATAATGTGGGAGCTGCTCTGGAATTGGAATGGTCAGACGTATTTCATTTCATACAACATAAAAGTAAATTTATTTATTTAAATATTTTTACCCTGCCTTTCTTCTTAGAAGGACCCAAGGCAGTCTTCATCATTAAAAGCCAGTATTAAAACTAACAACATTGGGTATACAAATAGTAAAAAGAATCAAACAAATATCATACTAAAAAACATAAGCAATGCCAAAACACATTCAAAGCAGTAAGGTACAACAATTAATTTAAGAAACACCACTTAGACAGCCAGTCACTTACGGAAAGCTTTCCTGAGCAGACAGGTCTTCACCTGCTTGTGGAAGGACAGCAAAGATGGGCCCCCATCTGGCATCCTGTAGGAGGGAATCCCAAAGTCTGGGAGCAGCAACAGAGAAAGCCCTATCCTGTGTCCCCATCAGACACACCTGTGAAGTGGTGAGACTGAGAAAAAGGCCTCTCCCGATGATCTTAAACATCCAGGCCGGCTCATAATGGGAGACGTGGTCCTTGGGATAGCTTGGATCCGAGCCATATAGGGCTTTCTTAGTTAAAACCAACACCTTGAATTCGTGCAGAAATGGAACTGTTGTAACAGAGGTGTGTATGATCCCTATAATGACTGCTACATTTCAGACCTGAAGTTTTCGGACAATTTCCATAAGCAGCCCCACATAGAGTGCATTACAGTAATCCAGTCAAGATGTAACTAAGGTGTGTGTGTCACCATGGCCAGATCAGACCTCTCCATGAATGATCACAGCTGGTGCACTAGTTTTAATTGTGCAAAGACACTCCTGGGCATTCAGATTCAGAGAGGAATCCAGGAGCACCCACAAGCTGCACATTTGTGTATTCAGAGGGAGAGCAACCCCATCCAGCACAAGCTGCATCCCTGTTCCTTGATCAGCCTTTCACCCCGAAACTCCAGACAACCTCTCCTAGCAGTTTCATGTAGATGTTAAATAATATAGGAGACAAAACAGAACCCTGAGGAACCCCACAGTCCAGCAGCCAGGTTGTTGAACAGGATTCTCCCAGCACAACTTTCTGAGTTCTCTCCTCCAGGAAGGACTGGAGCCACTGTAGAACAGTGCCAACTAGTCCCATCACAGAGAGACTGATGAGAAGTGTGCCATGGTTAATAGTACTGAAAGGGTAGGTGGATAGGTCCAGTAGAACCAACAGGGACACAGAGCAGTTCAGTTCCTGGCATAGGTCATCCACCAAGGCAATCAAAGCATTCTGTGTCCCAATTACCAGGTCTGAAACCAGACTGAACTCTAGATAATGTATCTCATCCAGGAACCCTTGAAACTGAGAAGCCACAATCTGCTCCAGCAGATTGCCCAAGAATAGAATGTAAGAGACTGGTTGGTAATTATTGAGTATTGTGGGATCCCAGGAGGTCTTTTTCAACAATAGTCTTACTATTGTCTTCTTTAAGCATGCTGGGATTCTACCAGCATGTGAATCAGCCCAGGGTTTCCCCCCTGTAATCTGTATTTTTCCCTTCATTGCTTGAAGCTTCTACCTTTTTGAAATCAAATGTGTTCACATTGGTTCAGGTGGTGTAATCACTTGAGCCAATGTGGAGGAATTTGTACCTGTTGTATTTCAAACCATTCTAGCAGGCTATAGCAGCATTGAGAAAGGCAGAACAAGAAAATAGGCCGCTGTTTGAATCCTCTCCTCTGCACACCTGGTGCCTGGGCCTGCTTTCGTCTTCCTTTTTCTTTATTCCTCATCCTCATCCTCTTCTTTCTTTTGAAGTCTTGCTAATTTAGCACTAGGCAACCAAAGGGAGGGAAAGAGAGAGGAAACAACAGTGAGAAAGAAGAAAGTTTTCAGTTAGTTCTGCTCTAACCATGTCTCCTGCAAATCTGGATGGTCACAGAACAGCTATCTTAACAAGCTGGAAATAAGGTTGACTCCTATCTCTCTATCTATTCCCCACTTTCTCTCTCTCTCTCTTTAGTCACCTAGCGCAGTGGTCCCCAACCTTGGGCCTCCAGATGTTCTTGGACTTCAACTCCCATAAATCCTGGCCAGCAGAGGTGGTGGTATAGGCTTTTGGGAGTTGTAGTCCAAGAACATCTGGAGGGCCAAGGTTGGGGACCACTGACCTAGCAGACATAGTGCTAGGACAGCAAACCTTTAAAGAGAAGGAAGGAAGGAAGAATGGAAGGAAGAATGGAAGAGGAAGAGAGGGGAAGAGAGGGGAAACAAGGAGACCAGATGTGGGGGGGGGGAAAGACAGGTGAGGAGAAAGGGAGACAACAGACATAGTGCTAGGACAGCAAACCTTTAAAGAGAAGGAAGGAAGGAAGAATGGAAGGAAGAATGGAAG